TTCAGTTCCCTACTTATGACTTCACCATCCCCAGGGGTACATTTCACTTCTATTCTGACTGTATCATTTCTTCCTACTTTAACTAGCAAAAATGTGTTGTTAGTTTGATCATTCCTATAAGGTTCTCTTAATATGTGTTGGATATTCAACTAAATTAAATCCAATGAAGATGTATTAGGCAATCAATGGCCACTGTGCTAGACACTGAGGATATTAAAAAAAATGAAAAAATAAAATTTTTGCCCTCAAGTAATTAACATTCTCAATTGGGATATGAAATTAACAAAAAAAAGTGTAACGTATTTTAGGATATATTTGCATATGCAAAATAAGATGGAGAGGAGTAAATGATTTGGGAAAGGAAGAATCACTTCTAGCTTGGAGGGACTGGGCAAGGTGTCAGAGAAGGTAAAACAAGAAATTAGCTTTGAAATAAAAGAGGGATTTTGATAGAAAAATTGATTTCAGTCATGAAGAACAACATTGAGAGAAGCATTTATGTAGGAGAGAGTAAGATGAGATAGTTGAATAGACAATATTCTAATTTTGCAAATATAGGGAGCGTGTGAATGAGAATAATATAAAATCAAGCTGGAAGGTAGGTTTGGGATAAGATTGTAAAGAGTCTTGAATTCTAAAATAACATGTTTACATTTTATTCTTCAGGACATAGATCATGAATGAAAAGTGCGAGGAGAGGAGAGTAATAAGATAAGATCATGAGATTCAGATGCTATCATGTATGTATAAATCGATAAACATGAACATAAAACATACATGTCAACTGTGACTTAGTAGTGTGGAGACTAGATTAGAAAAGAAAGGAACTAGAGATAAAAAGGAAACCTCCTGGCTTTCAAGCCTGAATGACTGGGAGAATTTTGGTATGATCAACAAAAATAAGGAATTCAAGAATATTCCCAATTTTCCCCAGGAATATTTATTTTAGTATAATAAATACTTATTTAAGCATGTTGAATTTGAAATATAAAGACTATCCAGTGGGAAATGTTGGACAATCAGCAGTTGAAAATATGACTAGATCTTGGGGAGAAGTTACTGTAAGAAATAGAGGATTGGAATCCATCTGTATAGAAGTGATCTGTGAAGCACTGAAAGGGGAAAAACTCTTCCAAGGAAAAGGAGAATATAGGAAAATGCTTTGGTGGATTCTAACACTTAGGGAGAGGAAGGAGGAATAATAATATGTAAGGGAAGTGAAGAAATGATCAGACTGATGATCTGGAGATATTCATATTCTGGACGCTAATGACGTACATAATAGCAAAAAATAAGGAGCAGAAAGCAATGCCAAATACTATAGGAACTTCGTAGATTTTAAAGACTTAAAAAAAAGAAAGAAAGAATTTGGCAATCATGCCACTGAAGACCTTGGAAATAGCAGTTCTAGTACTGATCTAACTAGAGAAGACAAAATGCAAGGACTTGAACAGGGGATGAGTAATAAGAAAGTGTGGGCAGCAAATAAAGCCTACTTCTACTAAATGTTTCATAATGAAGGAGAAAAATGACATAAGAAAATAGTTTGAATGGTTGTCAGGGCCAAAGGAGTGAGTGAATATGAATGAGTGAGAGTGAGTGAGTGAGAGTGTGTGTGTGTGTGTGTGTGTGTGTGTGTACACGTAAGCTTGCAGATATATTTTGTAGGGTAGGAAAGACCAGAACACTATTATAAGGAGAAAGAAAAGGGCCAGTAGAAAAAGGGAGGCATAAAGAGCAAGAAAAAAGTGGGATGATCTACAAAGCAAGGTTGTGGAAAAGACAAGAAGGGAATGTCATGAAATACGTAGGCAAAGGAAAGATTGGTTTTGGCACAAAGGTGAACACTTCTCTTCAGAAACTGAAAAAAAGAAAGGGAGAATTCACAGAGAAGTTTGGAGAGAGAAAGTCCAGTAGACAAAGGACTTCATTTTGAATGATCTCATTAAAAAAAAAAAAGTAGAAAGTGAGTTGCTCTGCTGAGAGTGAGTGGTATGGGATGAGGAAGAGAAGAAGCAGAATAGTCAATGTGGCAAGTATGAATGAGACTAATAAGTGTTGAATAAAAGACTGCTGTACAGCCATGAGGGGCCAGTTGAGGAAAACTTGAATGTGTCCTATACTTAGGCAATGTAGATTCCCAGCTTCTTCCAATAGCTTGGGAATGAGAACAGAAAAGGAAGATGGAGGAATGGTGTATGGATTTCCCAAGAAATACCAGTTTTGTGGATTAGTGAAGTAAAAATGAGAAATTAAGAGGGCCAATGGACTACTGGCTCAAAAGATCATAGATGTAAAGTTGGAAAGGACCACAGAGGCCTTATAATTCAGCTCATTCATTTTACAGATGAAGAAACCAAGGACCATAAAGGTTAAGTGACCTGCTGAATGTCATATAGCTATTAAGTAGCAAAGGTAGGATGCTATTATTATTATTATAGGCATCATGATTTCACCATGCTGCCTGTTTGAGATTAAAAAATGTGGTAGAAAGTACATCATCGGAATAAATAACACAAGAGTCAGGATTGGGTATCAGCTGGAGGTAGAGTGTGCCACCAAGTAGACATCTTCAAGGAAAAGTAGGATTATCCTTTATTGAATAGCTATAGCTGATTAGTCAGGTAGATGGCATAACAGAGAGCATTAGGGATGTGAAGACAAGAAGACATAAGTGCAAATGGCTCTTCGGATACTTATTAGTTGTGTGACCTTAGGCAAGGCTTTCATCACTAATTTCTCTCAGTCCAAATTTCCTTATTGGTGAGATGAGGAAAAACATAGCCTCACAGGGTTACTGTGAGAATAAAATAAGGAACATGCAAATTGGAAAAAATAATATTTAAAAAAAGAATAAAATGGGGCAGTTAGGTGGCGCAGTGGATAGAGCACCGGCCCTGGATTCAGGAGGACCTGAGTTCAAATCCGGCCTCAGACATATAACACTTACTAGCTGTGTGACCCTGGGCAAGTCACTTAACCCTATTGCTTAGCAAAAAAAAAAAAAAGAATAAAATAAGATAAACATGTAAAGATCTTAGATAAACTTTTATCAAATTGCAACATCGATATTGGATAAGATTATTACTATTATTGATTTTTTTTAGATATGCATGGGGCTAGCTTCTGAGGTCTCTTCCAATTTTTAGATTTTTTGATTCTTTAACTCAATTAACAAATATTTGTTATGGGTTTGTCACATGCCAAGCACTGTGCCAGGCACCAGGAACACAATTTAGAAGTTAGACAGAATTTATACACCAGAGAGTTTATTTTCTATTGGTAGCAGAATGATGATTTGGGATTATGAGGAAAGTTCTAGAATCTAGAAGTATACTGACTCCTGCTCTGTTTTTGTTTTAAGAAAGGTGCTATCAAAGAAGGGATGGCCACATGAGAGAGGGGATAGAGCACTGGAACTGAAATCAAGAAGACCTAAGTTCAACTCCCTCCTGAGACGCTTACTAGTTGTGTGACTCTGGGCAACTCAGTTAACTTCTATCTACCTCAGTTTCCTTATCTATAACAAGATGATAATCATAACTACTATTGCTACCACTCATTATTCTATTAGTATTTCTTCAGAAGAAAGTCATGTCTGAGCTTATGAATGCAAGGTGGAGAAGAATGAAAAAAGGAAGAAGGTACAAAAGGAACCTCACTCAGACTAGAGCACAGATTCTAAATACTCCAGTTAGTGGCAGAGCAGAGAAAATCAGCGATGGTTAGGGGTAGGACACTACTAAATAGGGAGGAGAGTGCAGGAAGAGGTATCGTGAAAAGGAGTATGAGCCTTGGCAGGTGGAGATACAAGACGGCAGAGATCAAGGGGCAAATTGGCAAGACATGCTAGTCAGAGATGGAAGGGAGTACTGTGAAGGAGGAAGGTTAGGACAGGAACTGGGCTGGGGACTGGTCCTGAGATTCGATGGGTACAATGAAATCGTGTATGAGGAAACTCTATCAAGACAGGTCAGATCCATCCCTGCCATTTATACTCTTCTAGGACTAACCGGAGCACAGAGGCATTAAGGACTTTACCGTAAATCACACAGCCAGTAAATGGCAGAAGTAGAACTGGGTAAGAGCTAGCTCTTATGCGAGTAATCTATTATCCACCATATAGCCTCTCGGGTGGAAGCTCACAGGATTATAAGCAATAAGGTTCTAATTAGAATGGCACTGTGATAGGGCTTTCACAAAATCATGCATAGCAATTATAGCAGGGTGTTTTGTTTGGTTTTGGCTTGTTTTTTTGGGGAAATTGTTTACCAACTGGAGTATTTCTATTTCTATGGATGCATATCTAAGCACATACATACAGTTCTATATGGGATATAGATAGCTAAGTAGATAGGTAGGTAGGTAGATATCACATTCATACATACACACACATATATACACATGTGTATAATATGACACATTTACACATACACATATGTATATACATGCATACATATACACATACATATATATATGAATTCAAGGTAGAAGGATATATATGGGTGTATACACACATATTTCATATGGAAGTTTTCTAGTTAACATAAACTTTCCATCACGTCTTGAATTGGTGGTCAGATATCTCAAAATAAACTTATTTACCCTTGATTTCCTATCAAGGCTAATTACAGACGCTGAAACATTAGTGCATTTTTCTTTGCTATAGAATTTTATATGTTATACATTGCAGAGTTTACTTGAAGCTCCACTAGAAGAGCATGTTCTCTATAACTCCCCACAGAAAAGAAAATGGCACTCAGCCTCCATAGGGCACTCAAGAAATGTTATTGTTGATGAGCAAAAATACAGAGTTATGTTCTTCAGCATGATATTTTCACCTTGTATAAGAAAGGCAAATGTTGAATATTCTGTGTACATCTCTTCTATAGAATCATTATTATTGACATAATAAAAATATTTTCAGATTAATCCAACATTGAGGGCAAATTTGTTATTCAAATAGACCAAATAAGTGATAAAATTAAGAAGATACATACCATTATCAAAATATCTGATGGTTGAATTTCTGGACACACTAGGGTCAAAATTTGCCATTAAAGGGGCTATGTACTGTGTGGCTGTTAGCATTCGGTGTACAATTTCTCCTGTATATATGAAACCTACAAGAAAACAAAATAGAAACAGGGTAAATAATTTTGTAGATATGTAGGCATCACAACTTGTAAGAAGAGTCATCTCTGGAAAATGAACTCTAAGGACTAAAAATAAGTGGCTGGGTGTGGAGAGCTGTTTGAGTCTATTACATTGGAGTTAGTACATTAAATTACAGGCCAAAGGTTGAATTTGGTTCAATAAAATAAAGTAGATATACTCAAAATTCAAAATAAACAGAGGCGTTACACAGTATACACATTTTCAGGTTTTTTTCAATTTATTGAAAAATGTTGTGTTGACTTTTCTTTTTCTTCTCTAAAAATACTATTTTTCATATAGGATGGCTCAGATACATGGGATACTATGGCCATTAAGAAACAGGAAATATCAATAAAAGCTTATTTTAAAAATGTAACTTCTACACACACGGTCTGTTTAACAAGTTATCAATGGTTCCCTACTCTGGCTGAAAGAGAGCTTCATACAGAATAACTTGCCTATGAAATCATCTGTGGTGTCTCTTCGATGACAACTCCAGCCAACAATCAATTATGCACTTTGTGGATTACCTGTGACAAATTTTTAATTTAAAATTGGCTTTTTGCCGTTATCCTTTGGGCTACCTGCCTTCACTGTCACTCAGGAACTCCAGCAAATTTTGTTATCTTTTTAAGTTCTAAGGAGGAAGGTAAACCTGAATTATAAGTATGTGTATATGTATGTATTATATATATATATATATATACATATATATACACATACACACACATCTCTATGAACATATTATGACTATCATTTAGCTATATACGTACATATTCATACTTCACCTTTAACTGAGGTTAATTTCCTTAAAAATTATTTTTGGTTTAGATCTACAATTTCACCCATGTTGAAAGCATATAGAAATGTTCTTCATTGATATGGATGAGTAACTTGTCAATAATTTCTAGTCTTCATGCCAGATGAAGATGCCAGACTTCAACCCAGGTTTCCTGAATCCAAGAATGGCTCTCTATACACTAATTATATTGCCTCAGTATAATGTGAATGGGTATTAATTCTCTGAGTGCACAAAATACACTTTTCAGGTTTCAAAATAATCAATTCACCTCTTCTACCACCACTATTGCTACTGATTAAAATTTTTATAGAACAGATTGAGCTGCCTTATTAGGTGATCAGTTCCTCATAACTGGTCATGTTTAAGTAGAGACTTGATAACTATATTTCTTATATATAAAAAATTGATACTTTCATATGATTTCAGAGGTTTCCTCTAACTTAGTGATTGTTTTTTTAATTAAAATAAGTTCTTACATCTGCAGGGTATTTAAAATTTATGTAACTTTACATCTATTATTTTATGTTGCTCTTCTAAACAAAATTATGACCTTAAAGCCATGATTTTTAAGCCTGCACATCACAAACTCTAAGGTAAATTATTTTAGAATAAATTATTTCAAAAGTGGATTGTGTTTCATCCATTTCTTAGTTTCCATTTCCATTTGTGGCAACACTTCTTCCTTCCTTAATTTCTTGATTTATTTTCCCAGTGATTAAAAAAAAGAGAAAGAGAAAGACATTGGGGCAATGTTTTTGAATCCATAATATGAACAATTTGTATGTATTTTAATTATTGTCATCTTTAGAAAGAAAAGACTTTATGGCTTACTTTGAGTTTTTGTATATTTGTATATTTACTGTTTCATATGCATGAGTGTCTCAAAGTTCCCCCATGGCAGATACATCATTGCTTTTATTGTGTCTCCCTAGAGGCCTATATTTCCAAAGTCACACCTCAGATGTTCAAAGACCAGAATTAAACCTTCAAAATGACATTCATGAAAAATAACTACCTTTAGTATCTCTGGGTCATGAATTCTCTTTCCTGGTAACAGCATGCATTTTAATTTCACATAAAAATGAATGCTACTGGTAGCTAGATATTGCATTTATAGAATGGTTAGTTTAGAATGGAATTTACTTAACCCCAGGTAATTACCTGGCCTAATGTGAATTTCTAATTTGCTGTCAAATGAATTTTTACTTTATGTAAAAGGTATGAAGCTTAAAGGATGGGAAAATTCACCCAGAAATTGGGTTTGAAGAAATTATTTTTTTCCAGTGGAAACACTTCATGCTTCCAAATGACATGTTAACAAACAAGAAGTCAACTTAGAGTATCCTTGCAAAAGCATGGCCATTGCTGAGCCGAAATATTTAATCATCACTGCTAATGCTTAAAATAAATGGCAAGAGCAAAATTAACTTCTCCTCGAATTGCTTTCTGTATAAATTTGGCAAGACGGGACTCACTACTGTCTGTGACCTACTTTCTGGATTGTAGTCATCATTTATTGCTATGTCCTTTAGCCGGGGAAGAATTTTCCAGACATACAATTTCCTGAACTACTTAATCCTTCCTTAGTGGGAGGGGTCTGGAAAACTTTCCCAAGGCAGGAAAGAGATTTGATGAAATGTAACAATGTCTGTTATGCTGTTTTGCCCCCTTTGTTTACCGTTGGGTTGAAATGGGCCTTAAACTACGTCTTACCAATGATTGTTGTTGTTTTTGTTCTTAAGTTCCAAGAGTTCAAGGTAAGAAAAAGTACAAAATCTCATGATGAGTTTAATGTTATGTTCACATGGCATTGATATTATTTTTTTTATCCTTGCTTATAAAAAAAGAAAACATACCTATCAAAACATCAGGTGAACTTTTAATGGCTTTAAAAAAAAAGCTTTATTGAGGCATGGAGCCCTTTAACCTAGCTGGACTTACATTTCAATTTTTAAAAGAGGGGCAGGGCGGGGCAGCTAGGTGGCGCAGAGGATACAGCACCAGCCCTGAAGTCAGGAGGATCTGAGTACAAATCCGGACTCAGACCAAACACTTGACACTTACTAGCTGTGTGACCCTGGGCAAGTCACTTAACCCCAATTGCCTCACCAAAAAGCAAAAATAAATAAAGAAAGAAAGAAAAGAAAAGAAAAGAAAACGGGAGCAGGGGAGGAAACTTTAGGCATGGTAGATGAGCCCTAGTTAATCTAATGAATCAGACTCATTTATAGAATTTGAAACAGCCCTGGGGACACTGAAATAATTCTCAAACTTCAAAGACCCCTAGAGACATTAAAATCCCATTCAAATATTTACCACTTTTACCTGAGTACGCTGGCCATCTACACTTCTGCTGAAATACTAGGATTTCTCCAAGCCTACATGATTTCATCTAATTTGAATGTGAAAATTATTATTTTTTCAGATTATTATGCAGAATCCAAAATCTTATCAGACACTCAAAAATCAGCAAATTCTTGGGTAATTTCTTCCAGTCATCTTGGGCTTTCATTCATAATTAGTTACATTATGCAATAGGAATAATGCTGGATATGGATTGTTAAGACCTGGGTTCTAATCCTTGTTCTGCCACAAACTTCCTCTGTGGCTTTGGACAAGATGCTTAACTTTTCTAAGACCAGGTTCCTTCTCTGTAAAAAAAGAAGAGGTTGTAGGAGATGACCTGTTAGTGGTATTTCAGCTCTGTAATTATTCTAGACAATAACAGGCTGTCTCTTATCTAAGAAAAAAAAAAGTATGTTTAGAAAAGAGATGCTTATCCAGGAAGGTTTCAAGAGGACGTAGCCAGAAAATTAAGGCAAAAGTATTTTGGTTAAAAAACTGGAGTTCAATATAAGACATTTCACTCTGTGTTTGAAATATATGCTATCAGACAATTCAGAGGCAAACTCAGGACCTACCTATAATTATCAGTTGATTTTAGGTACATGAAAAGATAATTAGCCAGGTATTCTTAACTAGGATTCTGTGAACTTAATTTTTGAATATTTTGATATCCTGCACAATTCATTTCTTTGTAATCTCATGTTTCTTATTTTGTGCATTTGAAAGATTTATTCTGAGAAGGTGTCCACAGGCTTCACCACTATGTCTATGACACCAAAAAGGTTAAGAATTCTTATTGGCATGCATTCAACCCGATAAATCAATCAATCACCAGGTGCCCACTATGAGCCATACCCATGGCTAGGTGCATGAGAAATCCATAAATTGATATACAAATTTTTATTAAGCACTTCCTGTGTATCAGGCACCATATTAGGTGCTAAAGATACAAACACCAAATTTAAACAGTCCCTTTGAGAAATATAATAGCATAGGGCAGCTAGGTATAGCCCAGTGGATAGAATAGTAGCCCTGGAGTCAGGAGGACCTGAATTCAAATCCAGCCTCAAACTTACTAGGTGTGTGACCCTGGGCAAGTCACTTAACTCTGATTGCCTCCCCTGCCCCCAAAAAAAAGAAAAAGAAAAGAAAGAAAGAAAGAAATTAACATGGTGCTTATTTAGAACTTACTTATCTAGTGAGTGCAACTACTCCGAATATTGCTGAGAACCAGGAAGTAATAATTTCTTTTTTCAACTGACAAATGAATTGCTAAGTAGTGTATTGTTAAAGCTAATAAGATTTACTTACAAGAGAAACCCATATTCCTCCCCACACCCTTTTCATTTTTTACTTTTAATTTAATTATAACAGTATAAGCCTCCTATTTTTTCATGTATATGAGGGTATTTATACTCTTTACTGCCTGGTTAAACTAGAGAAGGACATGATACAACATACATGAAAGATAAGTAAACTACAAAGAACTATCTATCCCAATGCTATAATAGTCACCACTTGTATGACTGTAAGGTTTGCAATGTGCTTTACATGTATTATGTCATATGATCAATTTATCTCCCTTTATTTAGCTTCTCCCTTCTGATAACAAAAAGGGGAAATAGGTCAATGGTGACTCTATTACTAACCTCACCTCAGATATTGGCATCATGCGTGGGACCTCACAATTTTAAAACTTGAACCCAGAAGCAATGTTGGACCCTACACTAAAATGTTTGTGATTGCTGTTAATCAATGGCAAAGGGGACTGATGATGCTTCTGTTTGCACCCCATCTTGATTTCTGATTCCAATGGCT